CAAAGTCTATTTTTGGTATTCCCGGGAGACCTCGTTGCTCTGATCCCCTTGTTGTTCTGTTGCACACCCTTGGTGTTTTGTCTCAGTGTGGTGGGTCGCAATTCCCACACTGTGTCTCCAGTGTTGTCCCCTGTAGGGCTATGGGTCAGTGAGGGATGTCCTGTCTCATAGTGGGGACTGCCATATAGTCTTCTCTGTGGCTTGGCTCCTCGGAGTGGGAATATCGTTCTCAAGGCTTGGTGGGCTAGGATGTACACCCCTCTCTCTTTCTCCACCGTCATTTGCTCCCATGTGCTCTGATCAGAAATGTCCCTCTCCCAGAGCTTCATATTCAGTGCTGTGCTCTGAAATAAATTCTTCTGAGTGGAGGGGCAGGTGTCCACATAGTTGAGATTGTGGGGAGAGGGGGGCAGACCTCCCACTGGTTCCCTACTCCACGCCAGCATGTTGCATCCACATCTTGGGACACTGGGTTGAAGTCTGGTGCCTCTTTCCCTGTGGAGATATAAACAATACCCTCCCCTTGGGTGGGTTAGTGCTCTGTGCCCCTGCTACACTTTTCTTTTCTTTTTTTTGTCTCCGCCCCCTCCTTTTAGTTGACTACCATATGTAACCCTGGATTTGGCCTGGCTACTGCCATACTACCTGGTCCTCACCTCAGGAATGTTTGTATATAGTAGTTTTTCCCCTATGCCTCTTTTGCATTTTTTTAAAAGCTTACCTCAGCGGACTCATGTTGCACTTATCCTTTGTGCTTGACTTACTTCACTTAGCATGATTTCCTCCAGTTCTTCCCATGCAGTGATGTGCTTCATATGTTCATCACTGCTTTTTAGCAATGTGCAGTACTCCATTGTATGTATATACCACAGTTTCTTAATCCACTCATCAGTTGAAGGAAATTTGGGTAGTTTCCATTTATGTTTATAATGCTTAGTGGTTCTTTGTCTATTGTTCCCTTGAGCATTATATAGTGTCCCTTCTCATCTCTTTTTATGGTTTGCACTTTGAGGTCAATTTTATCCAAGATTAGGATTGCAACTCCTGCTTTTTTTGAATTGCCCTTTGCTTGGTATGCCTTTCTCCAGCCTTTGATTCTCAGCCTATTTTTGTCTGTAGCCTTGAGATGTGTCTCCTGTAGGCTGCAGTTCGATGGATTGTGTTTTCTAATCCAGTCTGCTAGCCTCAGTCTTTTAATACCTGAGTTCAGGCTGTTGATAATCAGGGTTATTATCTCCATCTGCAGGCTCTGTGATGTCATCTTATACCTTTGTGTTGGGTGTTTTCCTACTTTTCTTTCTTATTAGTGTGTTGTGCATGTGTATGTGTGTGTATCATTCTTGACTTCTTTCCATCCTTAAGCCAATGCTATCTTGGGGTCTGTTTTCTCTTTGTTGCCCTCTGGGTGAGGTTGTTCTATGTGGCGGTCTCTTATTTATGCTTGGTGAGTGTTGTTCGTCTGTCCATACTGGATCGGCAAGGATCTTTTGTAGGGCTGGGTTTCTTCTAAGGTATTCTTTGAGTTCTTCCTGGTCTTGGAAGACTCTTACTTCTCCATCTATCCAATTGATAATTTGGCTGGGTAGAGTATTCTTGGGTTTGTGTTGTTTTCCTTCAATTTTTGG